CGCCGGCGGCGAGGACGACATGATGGAAGAGAAGGAGAACAAGGAATACAACGACGAGTACATCAGCGTCATCATCGGCGCCCTGGCCGCCCTTATCTTCCTCCTCGTCTGCGTCATCCTCATCCTCTTCTGCCGCCACAAGCGGCGTAAGAACAACAACAACCGCCGGGGACACAAACCGGTCAGCAACAATCACGTGACTATCAACCTGAACGACCTGCGGGGAACCACCAACGGGAAGGTGTCCAACGGAAACATGTATAACAGTATAGCAACCGACGACGCCGACTCGGACCGAGATGGGGCGGGATGCTGCAACGGAGGAGGAGGAGGAGGAGGAGGAGGAGGGAGTGGGAGTGGAGGAGGAGGAAGCGGAGGGAGCGTTGCAGGTGCCGGAGGTAGTGGCATCGGAAGCGAGAAATTTGGCTGTAAGCCTGCCTATGTGCAGCCGAAAGATAGCATTCAGGGTAGACAACTTCTCATGACTTGCCTGCCTAATCAGTTTTAGCGCAGTTATCGGCCTTTGATGTATTCCTTCATTTTTATTAGAATACTTCGGTTTTTCCCCGTTTATTTCGGCCTGGATAATATCGTTTCTTTATTTATAGTTTCTTTCTTTATTCTTTACTTTTTTTTTTCTTTTTGTATATTTTCTTTTTATTTATTCATTTCCCCCCCTGGTAGTGTTGTGCGGGTAGCAGACAGCTGTAGGGAATGATCTGTGTCCTCGTGTGGTCGTTTTTAATACGTCCTATTTCCTCAACACTAATTGTCATAATTTTCTGTACCGTCCTAGGATAGTGGTTACCTCCCTGTTGTTTTTAACACTAACACACACTCATATCTCTCTATGGGGAAAAATATACTGGTATGGGAAAAGGTAGATAGAATATGAGGCAGCGTGGTGGAATCAGGCTCTCGTCAATTTTTGGGCATGTAGAGTTATTGGTATCATCTTAAAGCTTGTTCATTTTTCTTGCTGTCAATGAAAAAATTAACCATCCATCTTCAAAAGAAGTGGAGATATTTTGGATAGAAGGAGGTGGGGGTCACCTGGTTTAGGGGGTAAAATTAGCGAGAAAATGGCTGCCAAAGCTTGGTAAATTCCAAAGCTGGAGAGTCTATGGAAACTGCAAATTTATATTTTTGTGACTTTAATCAACGTTTTCTAAGAAATCCTCAAAGAAATGTGTTTGTAAATGGACATAAAAGGTGTTGAGCCAAAAAACAAAAATTTGATTAAAATTGCTAAGCAGGGAGAAAACTGTTGTTTTCTTCAATTTCATTATTTTGACGAGAGCCTGATTCCTCCACACTGCCTCACAAATACATGCTAATCATGTGGAGCTTTTGTTTTTTTAAAAGGAACCCACAGTATCAGTATTTTATTTAAGTTTAAAAAAAATTTTTAGACGAAGAGAGTTAGTAGTGACTAGGAGAAACGAGATTATAAATTTGAATGTTGGACATAAAACGTTTTCTTGTTCTGACTGTCCCCGACAGTTTCTAGAATGATTTGGGCCTAATTAGCAACAAGAAATATTTTTATAATAATAGTTGTAAAGCGCATAGAGCATGCTCTTGAGCATGGATATGCGCTATATAAATGCAATTATTATTATTATTAAATAAAATGTAAACCAGTACAACACAAACTTTATTATCTGTAGTGAAGGAATTGTGCCTGTTGACTCAACTGAGTGATTTTAAGGCTGGACTAATCTTTAAAAAAAAAAGAAGAAAAAAAGAATTCTTCTTCCCTAAAAAAAAATAATAACAGTAGGTTCCTCTGTCCTAGAAAAAATAACATCAACGATTCTTCCGCCCTAATAAAATAACAATTGCTTACCTGCAAAAAAAAGTGGTATCTTGCTTTTGCTGAGAATTGAGGGACTTGGGAGGAAATGACATTGTCTCTTTTTGTGTCCCTTTATCTCTGTCTTCTAGCGGATGTGGTGAGGCACCATGAGGCCCCTGAGCCTGAGCGATACATCAGTTGTTTCACAGTGGCTTCCCCTGCGCCGGTTGACGCAGGTTACCATGGTTACCATTCTCTACAACTGCATTGTTTCGCTCTCTTCTCATCTCTTCTCTCTTTCTATGGAGTCGAGTTTTGAATGACATTTTTTTCCCCCTGGAATTGGAATCCCTCGCATTCTCTCGGTCTTTTCTCACGTCTTCTCACTTTCTTGGTTAGTAAGTCAGTAAGTTGTGAATGCCACTTTTTTTTCCCCTCACAAACCCTTTTCATGCTTCGAACTTTGCTGCAAATCTGATTATAGGCATGAGTTTTTGTGTCTGGCTTTTGACACATAGTTTCACTCTCAGAGTCTGTTCACACCTTGTATGAATCGTGCGAGTCAAAAGAGTCGAGTTCATTGGAATGCTTCTCTCTCTCCCCCGTTCTCTCTTTCTCTCTCTCTCTTTCTCTCTCTTTCTCTCTCTCTCTCTCTCTCTCTCTCTCTTTCTCTCTTGCTTTCTCTAACTCTCTTTCTCTCTCCATCACTCCCTCCCCCTCTCCCTCTTTTTCTCTCTCTTTCTCTCTCCCTTCATACCTCCTCACTCTTTCTCTCTCCCTTCATACCTCCTCTCTTTCTCTTTCTCTCTCACTCACTCTCTCTCAGACTTCACCAGTTTTTCCAGAGCATGAATTTACACGTCCAGCTTTTAGCTAATAATGACGAGGCTCTTTTTTCACCTTTTGCAGTGTTTTTTGGCTCACTTTAAGCCTCTTTTTTCCTGTGCTGATCAAAGGGTGGTACATTAGTTTCCACATACGCACAGTTGTCTCTGATCACTTGACTGTGGCATCCCCTCTCTATCTGCCCCATGTTTTCACTGGTGCAATTAGTTTGTTGTAAAGAGACAAAGCTAAGGGAAGTAGGAGAGCAGTATGTTTCTAAGGATTCAGACATCCTCCTCATCCCATCTGTGTATGGATGGGTAGTTGGTGGGTGCTCCGGTGTTGTCTGCTTTTCAGACATTTCTTGGACGGTTCTGTTACTGTTCTGATAGTCTGCTTCTTTACTAGTTACAAGACGGCTGTCACTGTGTTGAGATGTGTTTTAAATATCAGCTCGGTGATCGTTGGGGTAAAAAAGTGAAAATGTTTTTGTAGATGATGTAACCTGAGTAAATAATGAAATACAAAACTGAGGGAGAAGGACAGAAGAAGGAGATTTCTTGTATGGATTGTAAAATAGTTTCCTTCTTTGACACTTTGCTTATTGTCCTACCTGACTTTAAATGGGTGGTTGGGGGTTGTCACCAATAGGTCCCAATTATTTACAGTCCTTCTGTCATTTGTGTCTGTCTCAATGAACTTGATTATGTCAGCGCATTTCTCTTTGAAGTCAATATCGATCTATTGAAGTTAGGTTATTATCTGACTTGAGCTGTGGGCGACTTTATTGGTGAAATCCAAGGAAGAGCTGTAAATTAATATAATTTGTTCAATATATAGAGCTGTAGTTTGGCTCACATACCAGCTCAGACAAGGGTGAGGGAAGACAGTCTTGGTTCAGGCCTTGTCAAGGAAATAAATTTGATGCTTTTGGGAGTCAGTGTCAGCTGATCATTTTTTATATTTTTTAAAAAGCCATGAGTAGTTGTTTTTTTAATTCTATATTTGGAATATTCTCTAATTTCAAAATGAGCAGAAAGAATAGAATGGGTTAGCACCTAGCTTGTCTTTGGAAAAGTGCTGAAATCAGATATAATTATTTATAACTGCATGTGGATACTTGCTTTTGTATTGATTTCTTTTCTTTTTCTTTAAATCACTTTCTTTTTATTATGATGAATGCCAGCTGCTTTTTTCCCTGTCGCTACAAGTGCTGATTTTGATGGAGGTGTTTTCAGTACCTTATCGCTTTTTCCCCGTTTTTTTCTTCAAAAGTATCCATTCAAGAGCTCCAAAACTCAAGTTTGCTTATAATGGTTGACAAAGTAAGAGAGTGATTTTAAAATGACCCAAGTCAAATATCAAGGCTCTTTGATCATAAGATGTTCTGTTTAAGTGTGTCAGGACCTTTGAGTTGGGCATAATTTCTTCTAGTTCTGCATGAAGCAACACTCCTTTTCTTTCTTTTTTTTTCACACTTTTACTCTGCATATATGGAAGACAGAGGGACTTTTGTTTCAGGAATGAGTGATGTTTATTTATTCGTATGCTTCTCTTTGTTTTGTTGATGGGGGGGGAG